AATCTACCCAGGTCGACGAAATAATGGGTTCGAATCGAAATTCCAGTCACCTCAACAAAGCCGGAGCTTACAACGGCTGAAACATTGTGTATTTGGGTTTTAGTTCGGAAAATTTGCTTCTAATTAGGATATTATTTGTAGTGTTTTTGCTGTGTTGAGTTAGTGCCAGGTCTAAATGAGGTTTGTCAAGTATTCATGGAGGTGACTTGATAGTGTTAAAGGGAGCTATGATGTTGAGGCATTTGTTTATTTGTCTAAGTGCGTCTTTGATTCGGTGACCAAATGAGGGGATGTTTGATAGTTTCCTGGTGTTAAAGTTTGTATGTTGTAGTTTGAAAGTTCTTTCATGTGTTGAACTATTTTTTTAAAAATCGAGTTCACCACAAGCAAGGCAGTAAAGCCACTATGACACAAGGGGTCACTGGGTGTGGAAGAATTAGAAAACAGAAACATTGCTAAGGAGCGAGAATGAAAGAAAAATCAGGAAGACAGAAGCTGAAATATGACTAGAAAGTAAGAGGCCGAAAGAAAGTTCTGCAAGCGAGAATTGCGAGGGAAGAAACTGTTAGCATAGAACTTACGGTTGCATCGAGCCAATTTAACAGCATTCTTTTTTGTTATATTTTGTGCTGATTGTTTTCACTTTCTTCAAAATGAATCAAAATAAATAAATAATTCGTGTATTGTATCTACAGTATGCAAACCAAATAATGTAGCGAATATAAAACAGATTTGTTTATTACGTTTATTCTTCAGTACACTACCGTACATTTTTTAAAATCTGTATCATCGCATGCAAGGCAAAGGGGTTATAGGGTGTGGAAGAATTATGAACAGAAATATTAATAATGAGTGGGAAGAGAAAAGAGTAATCAGGAGGACAGTAGATAGTCACTAGTAGAGGTAACTAAAATATGTAGTCTTTTTATGGAACTTTCTATTTGTAGTTCTGTTCATTAAAACCATTATACTTCACAGGAAATGTGCAGCAATCAAGAATTTTTGTGACAGTCACAAACCATAAGTAGTGTTAGATAACTGAAATGTGTAGCAGTAAGAATTAAAGTGTGCAATTCTAAATTTTCAGACTGTAGGATACTACACGAAATGTATAACATAACCAGGTCTGCATTCAGTTGTGTTTTTTGACTTCAAAACTTTGATTTCTTCACAGCTTTCAATTGATCCATGTGACATGAATTATTGGAACCAGATGTATCTTTTCTTTGAGCATCTCATCTGTCAAATTAAAAGATAAATCACGAAGTTTGTGTTTTTGAAATTGATGACCACTTCGCGTATAGTCCTGGAGTTTTTTTTACACGGGTCTGTGGGAACCCTGGATTACTAAACAGAAAGAAGTCAGATGGAGCAAAGTCTGTTGATTAAGTGGGTGGGGTAGCAGTTTAAAGCCATAGCTGCTTCAGCTACTGCAACCTGTGCAGTGTGAATGGGCGCGTTATGCTGAAGCAGCAGCGCCCTGTCCTCAGCTTCCCTCTACGTTCGACTTCAGTTGTCTTAATTCTGATGCATATTACTGTCCGTTAATAGTTTTCTCCTTTCGCAAGTAGTCTGTCATGATTACACCTTCAGAATCGATCACCTTTGCCAACAGACGCTGCCTGCTTGAACTTCTTCAGGGGTAGAGAACCGGAGTGTTTCCACTGCTTTGTGTTTTTGATTCATGTTCGGAGTTATGAACTCAGGTTTCATCTTGAGTTGCTAATCCGCAGTAGAAATTCTTAGGGTCAACCTGGAAGCGAGACAGAAGTGTCCTGGAAATGTTAACCTTTTCCAGATTCTGCTCTGGTATCAGCATTTTTGGGATCTGCAAACAGAGAGCCCATCTCCAAGATCTCAGTTAAAACAATATGAAACGAACCAGAACTAATGCCTTTAACTATCTGCTGGACAATAAGATGTCTATTATCCAAAACCATACGGTGAATGACATCAACTTGTTCGTCAGTGGTTGAGGTTTTTGGACGACTTGATCGAAGGTCATTTTCTATGCTGTCCCAACTCCGCTTGAATTTCGCAGATAACTTCTTCACAGTTACATAAGAAGGAGAGTCCTCAGTAAGTGTTTATAACATGTTAACTTTCTTTTGCTGCTAATTTATGACTGTTCGGTTCTCTGTTTCGTCCATTTCTAGATTTGTCGCATACTTTCGTATGAGCCTCAACTGCACAGAAATTAAGACAGAAATCTGAATTAGTTTGTCTAGTTTTATAAGAAGTGGTAGTGTGTAACCACAACAAAAATGTTCAGCTACGTCTCTTCTTTCTTGGTAAGGCTTAGAACTTTTTGAACAATCCTCGTGTTTTCCTCTTCTTTCTTGGTAAGGCTTAGAACTTTTTGAAAAATCCTCGTGTTTTCCAACGAGGCTTGAAAGAAACCACACCCGAATGTTTATTATTCCTAAATTATAAAACAAAAATCAGAAAAGATGGAGGGGTACAATCTTTACTGTTTAAGTGAACCGCTTAAAAGTTTCCATAGCTGAAGTGGTTAAAGCGAGGGCCATGAAAAACGGATTCTTGAAATGTATGATGAGAGTTCATGCTTCATTATTTTTGATTTCGGGTAGTTTGCTTTAGAAAACGACGAATAAGTGGGAGGTCTTTGGTGTCCACACACCGTGAAGTAGCTAGTCTTGTCAATAATTACAACTGTAGTGAGTTATATTTTTGCCTTGGTATCAAACTGAGTTAAGAAAATATTAATAATTTTGGTGCCTATAGCTACCTTCAGTTTAATTTGTCTCATCGGTTACAATGATTTCCGAGGTGTGGCCGCAATTGTTTGCTTCATGAGCCGTCAGTTAAAAGTTGAACGCCATTGGAATGAACAGCCCATACACATTTGACACAATTTACACGTCCATTAAGAAAATTCGTCATATTAATAAAGTTTCACAACAAAAACGGGAAGATATATCTAGCTTTCTTCTTTCTGCCGACATACTCATTCCAACACTGGCGAAATACCAGATAGAAAGGTGAAAGGTACTGTTTAATCGTATAAAGATAACAAAACGATGTAAAAAAAAGAAAGAAAGAAAAGTAAAACAGTATAATTGAATGGAGGGCGACTTTTAGCAGACAGTCTGATAATAATAAGAAAATTTTTTTTCTTTCGAATTTCTTCAGAAACTTAGCATTCAGAGTAAATTACGTCGTATAATAATTTTCTTTTGCGTTTCTTAAGAGCCGATGAGAATATCCACAGCCGTTATTTGGCATGTAAGTCGACCAGACGAACAGAGGCGCTAGTTGGAGCAGGCACGTTTGGAAGATGAGGGGTGTTCTTCGATCGCCGACACATCATTAGCATTTACAGCAACGCAGACGGTAACTTTGAGTGTGGCTTAGTGGGACATTCTAAAGGATGCGGGCCATTAATTACTTAAGTTCGATTCTTTAAGATTCACTGAAACTCGGACTCACGTTGGAAAAGAAAAACTTCTCTTTTTTTATTATATATATATATATATATATATATATATATATATATATATATTCGCTTAGATACAAATATGTAAACAGTACACAGACGTGAATGACATATTTGGTACAGGATCTTAATCTTTGGGCAAATATTGACGATTAATGTAACTACGCAAGATATACGAGACTTGCTTGCAAATCAATCTCTCTGCAGTAGTAATCACCTACGTGGATATTTATGGAGCCTGGCTTAGTCTAGCACTCGTCTATAACGGAGGTGTGCACATATACTCACCACACGATCATTGGTACATGAATTCTATTTTTTTACCATCATTCTACAACAGCCATCCTCTGTGTTGGTGTAAAGCGCGTATTTATGTTTTTATTTATAAAATAAAATGCAAGTAGCATTAAAAATTTATTTGACAGTATAGCACCTCCCCATTTCAGCAGGATATTTTTATATTCTTTTCACCCAAAACAAATCACTCAGGATTACTGAATGAGGTTGTAGTAAGGGCGTAAAGTAGGAGATAATCACCCCGTGCAGGCAATAAAGCCACTAAGACACAAAGGGTTACAGGGTGGGGAAAAATTAGGAACAGAAACATTAATAATAATCGGGAGGAGGAAAGAGTAATCAGGAGGACGATAGATAACGATTGACATTGCGTTTAAAGTTTTACAGATTAAAGTTGCCTGGAAAGCATGGAGCCGGAAGGGAGTTCCACAAGCAAGAAGTGAGAGAAAAGAAACTTTGATCCGAGACTTGAAGTAGTTAAAATTGCAGTGGTCGGGGACGCCTTCGCCCAGGAGTCTGTTTAATAGATCTGGCGAAGAAACTGACTTAGTGGATTTCCTACATACTAAAGGAATGCGAAGCTAGTGAGGATGAGTTGTCTCCGTTTATGGCGAGTTCTTGCTGTGAAGGTCTGAACTGGTGGAACTAAGGAATGTAGCTCATCTGAACATTGTTCATGGATAGAGTAGGGAGGAACGTTTCGTCTGTGGGTTACAGGGTTGAAAATAATTAATCACCCATATGGCCGCGTAATAGCTTTTGAAGTCTTTCAATACTGGAGAGAGGGCACTGAGATGTGCCATTCCAGATATGGCAACAATACACCGCTTTTAATCTGATTTGACGACTGCAAGTTATTTAAAGCCAGAAAATATTTTTACATTGCTAGAATTTCTCTTTTTAGGGGAGGGCAGATAATAATGATTTAGTGATATGAATCATACTAATTAACCCATAGATAGGAGGAGAATAGGTGCATTCATACCTTTCCCGAGAGTATTTGCGCGTAAGTGAATATAACGAACACAACTGGAATCGGAACTCGGCTCTTCGATTAACAATTCCGAGCCACTATCCATTACGCCACCTTCACATTCAAACTTACAGCATTTTGTATTCCCAAGTGGTCACCCATCTAGGTACTGACCGGGCTCGACGTTGCTTAACTTCGGTGATCGTATCGGAACTCGGCTCTCCGATTAACAATTCCGAGCCACTATCCATTGCACCACCTTCACATTCAAACTTACAGCATTTTGTATTCCCAAGCTGTCACCTATCTAGGTATTGTGCGGGATCAACGTTGCTTAACTTCGGTGATCGTACGGGAACCAATGTTTCAACGCTGTATGGATGTAACTCTAATAAGAATAACAACCGTAATAGTAAAAGCTGGCTGGCGGGGGGGTTTAAAAAAACGGTGCAAAACAGCATCATCATGGTTGTCTCTTGCGATACCAAACAACTCTACTGAACGCATTCACCACATGTAAACCCAGCCACCCCATTCACTAGTCATTCGTCTTTGGCTGCTTCATGTGACGGACGTATTTCTCTACGGTCTTAATGTTATGTTTCTAGGGTTAATATTTTACCATCATCAGCATTTCCTCTTAGTTACATCTTGTTCTTTTGTAGTTTTTCAGTTGGTTATTGATAGAAGTGTGTTGAGACATAATTCAGCGGCATATTATCGTATTAGTCAAAATCTACAACATCAACATAGTATAAATATCGATTTTACCTGGAACCATTAATTGGTGTTTAAATCCGTGTGAAAGCGAAGAGACTGATTATTACAATTCAAAACACTCAGGAGACTTAGAGGAAATAAAACATTTTTAAAATCAACTTTGAAGAGATTTTGTAACATTTGTAATAAGAAAGACTAGAAAAATAGGATTAATAAATTATTTCTTTAAATCAAGTAAAATTAAAATGAGGAAGGAGGGCTTGGAAAATCTGATACTCACGAGGAGAGACAGAGGAAAGAAGCGCGTAACATACTTGATAGCCTTGAGCAAATGGATAGCAGAACAGGGTTTGGGAGAAGTAACAAAAGGACGAAACTTATTAAGGGCTACAAGGGACAGGAAGATGTGGAGGGCCATGATCGCCTACGTGCTGAAGGAACACAGCACATAAAAGAAGAAAATTAAAATGTTAAAAAATTCAACATACTTTTCCTTTTGTTCGAAACAGAAATACAGACTGCGCAAAAATAAATAAAGTATCATTAATATCTTTGCTTTTATGAATGGAAATTTAATAGAAAAAGATATTAAATTAGCTTTAAGTGAAAAATGTTAATTTAATTTCCCGGGAACAAGATCAAGTTTCCTAAATTACTTTTTCTTTAGTGAATTTCTCATAACAAATATTTATTTTTGCAATGAAAACATAAAATAATATAACAAGTCTCAAGGCAATAAAATAAATACTTACTTCAATTACTTATACTTCAATTAAATAAGCTAATGTTATTCCAAATGCAAAAAGCAAACATTTCTTAAGCCTCAAACTATCGTAAAACTAAACCGAAACTAAAAATCTTCACTCCCACTGGAACGATGAGTTTTTAGCGCGACCTCCCTTTCTGAGCGTGAGTTGCACTATGACTTGGCCTTTAGTAAAGAACGTCTTGCAGCTCCATTTCAATAGTCATTTATCGTTGGATGCTTCGTATGACGGACGTATTTCTCTGAGGCCTTAATGTTAATATTTTACTATTACCAGCATTTCCTTTCAGTTACATCTCGTTCTTCTGTAGTTTCCATCGAGTTATTGATAGAAGTGCGCCAAGACATACTTAGTCATGATGAATCAGCTGGTGCTTTACGATGAATACTGGGCAATTTCCGCACAGACGGAGAAGAGACTTGAAGCAACAGAAATGTGCTTCTACAGAAGGATGTTGAGAATACCATGGATCGAACATGTGAGCGACGACAAAGTTCTAGAGACAATGGAAACAAAAAGGAGACTTATATTTAACATCAGGAAGAGACATTTGAAATTTCTAGGGCACGTAGCGAGGGAAAGGGCAAGGAAAATTTGATATTCACAGGACAGATTGAAGGTAAGAGGGACAACGGAAAAAATAACCTACTTGGGAAGTTTGGGTAAATGGATGACAGGGCAGGATCTGGAAGAGATAGCAAAAAACGACAAAATTTGTTAAGAGCTACAGAGGACAGGAAAATGCGGAGAGCCATGATCACCAACATTCTGAAGGCACAAAGAAGAAGAAGAAGAAGAAGAAGAAGAAGACAATTGGTACCGACTATAATTCCTTTCACAGTACCGGTAATAATAATAATAATACTAAAACTACTACTACTACTAATAATAATAATGTCACAGATTTGCTTGTCGCTTGCCTGAACCAGTTAGCCATGACTCTTAGGTGCTGATGCACTGCGCATCTTAGATAGAGAAGCATCATGACCGGTTGCCGAAGAGAGGGTTTTTTTTTTAATCTTTGAAGGATGAAGCAGTAAAGACGAGTTGGAAGTCATAGCTAGGTTCTTAGGAACACCCTCAATCTGAGACTGTCTCAGTGAACTGATTTGATTGGACTCCACCTGCAAAATTAGGTGCATGATCTCGCGCACATTTGGCTGTGATGCATGCGTCTCGTATACCTTTATCAGACCGGTTGCGATGGTGGGTACATCAGGCGTTGTATATTTCTACCCTAACGTTACTTTTTTGCTTTCTGTTCCCTCACTCACAAATAATAGTAATAATAATAATAATAATAATAATAATAATAATAATAATAATAAGAAGAAGAAGAAGAAGAAGAAGAAGATGCATTATTCGAAGGTAGATGTTGACCGTCTTTATAGTGCTACAAGTAAGGGAGGTAATGATTTAATCCAGTCTGAGTTGACCCACAAGACAGTAAAACAATTGCTGGTTTTAAAAAAAATATTTAGATACAACATCAGATAAGGAGATACAAATTAAGATTCATGACAAAAGTAAAAAAAAACAAAAAAAAAAAAAAAAACAACAACAACAATTACTCCATTTATAAAGAAATTAAATTATGAATGGAATCAACTTCACTCTGACGGAAATAAATAAAACTACTCGAGAAATGCAGTTAAAATCATAAAAAGAGGATACTAAAACACAAGATTTAAACAATTTAAAAACACCTGATAACAAAAAACAAAAAAGAAACAAACAAACAAAAAAAACATGCCTAACATACATTCAGATGCAACAATACTAGCTGAAGAATGCTAAAAGTTGAGACGGAGGCGTTTATACTGGCTGCACGGGACCCAAATCTATTCAATAAGAATTACCAAGTAAACAATAAAATTGGTGCAGGCCCGATATGTGAACATATTTAGAATATTAAAATCACTTAGGGTGTCCAATCCTGACAGCGAGGGCATACAAAAATCGATACGATACTTTTGGGAGATCTGTCAGTATTATAGTGCATCACACGCTAAAAATGGTATGAAACACTACCCTAATCCAGTCATAGAAAGCAATATATGCGAAATAAAATACATCTATTAAAAATATGACAAAATAAATAAATATAAGAATCTTGAAATTGAAAATATTGTGGCACTTTCATCTACTGTTAAAAAAGAGTCGGCGTATATGGAATGGCACTCAACACAGAAATCCAAAGTTAGGGTGAATAGCACGAGCAACACCAGTGCCAGCGTTACCAGAGACGGTGAACCACTGTAGGAAGTGGTGTCCAGTTTCAAATACTTGGGAGCAAACCTGCCAAGAATCTCCACACGGATCGCCATAGCTACAACAGCGATGGCCAAACTGGAAAGGATATAGAAGAGCAACATCAGCTTCGAGACCAAGTTCAGGTTCTACAAATTGCTGATCGTATCCATCTTCCTCTATGAGAGTGAGACTTGGACACTCCTGACTGCGACAGGAAGAGAAAGAATTCAGGTGTTCGAGAACAAATGTCTGAAAAAGCACTGCAGCATCTATGACTGGGAACACAAAACTGTGTTTCATGCTTAAACGCAATCTTCAGACATATAGCCTGAAGATTGCGTTTAAGCATGAAACAGACTGTCGCCGTTGAACGTTGACCTCAATATCCACTTTTATATTTATATTTACATACGCTTTGTCCCTGATATTGTACACATTAAACAATAAATATAAAATAAATGGATAGTAAATGGATAAATAAAAATTAAACTACGCACTTTTAATTCGACACTTTTATTACTTTAAACATTATTTTAGTGGATAACAGTGTGTGAAATAGACGCCCGGAACTTTAATTTTTTTATTTCAAAGCGTTTTATTTTAAACAGTGTGCATTAGCCACTGTTTAAAATAAAAATAAAAACACGGCCTTCGACTAAAAATAATGTTTGAAGCAATATATATATATATATATATATATATATATATATATATATATATATATATAACGTTATTCATTATTATATAATTTTATAATGATATATAAAATTATATGATTTCATTATAATACATTACATTTTATTATCATAATTTTATTGTTATAAAAACGTTATTTTTATGTGTATTAATAGCACTTTTTAATAGTATTCAAAATAGTACTCACTTATATGCATAAGAAAAGAATATACATATTTTACACACACACAAACATATATATATATGTAGAATTTGTATATATATATATATATATATATATATATATATATATATATATATATATATTCTATTACAAACGTAATGTTCTTTATGTACTTTTTTATTAATTTTTTCCTAACACCGCGTAAGAATGGAAGGAAAATTAAAAAATACTTCGCTATAAGGTTTGTTGCTATTTAATAGAATTTGTATATAAAAATTGCTTCCCCAATATACTTCATATCTATCTATCTATCTATCTATCTATCTATCTATCTATCTGAGTGTGTGGTGAAAGGTTCTTAACCGAACCAAAAAGCCCTTCCAATAAAAACTTGATGTTTGGTCATTTGGTACGTTTTTCGCAATTGAGCAAGATCGAGAACATTTAAGCACCCTCTCGTACATATACATGATGACAGTCAATTTATAAATAGGTCATCGCCGGTGTGTGTGTGTGTGTGTGTTGACGAGGAGATAATTTGTATCACCGAAGCTACAGACTGCTTTGGAAAGCTCTACCATCGGTTGTGGAAATTTCAGTGGAATTTCCTTAGAAGCCAGACTTCAAGTATACCGAGCTGTCGTAATTACAATTCTCCTTTATGGCTCCGAATCATGAACCTCTACTGGGACCATATTCGGCAGCTTGATATCTTCCATAAGCGACTTCATATCATCTGTAGGTATAATATGAAAAACAAAATATCTAATATTAATGTTTTTTTTTACAAAGTGCGAAATTGAACGCATAGAGACGTTTCTAATGCGAAGGCGACTTCACTGGACTGGTCATATGCGCTTGAGTGTTGAAAGAACACCGAAAATCTTCACATACAATAAACTGTATGGTGGTTCTTATATATATATATATATATATATATATATATATATATATATATATATATATATATATGTATGTATATATATGTGTGTGTGTGTGTGCAAAACTTGCAATATATTACAGGAAATGGAAAACTGCAAAACTTGTCAGTAATTAAAATAACCACATAAGATCTGAACTAGCGATAATCAATATAGTGTATCAATTTGACTGCCCAGTATAATACTGTATTTCTTGTCATAAATCAATTAACTAATTAACTATATCGGACATAGTACCACCTCATGGAGGAGACGCCTCACGTGTCATTTATCATATCAAAGTGCTATAAAACATTATATATCTACCCACAATTTACAAGAAACCTTAAAAAAAATTCTAGTCGAAAACAATAAAATTTTATATAAATGACATTACCGGAAACATCTCGCTATATATATTAAACATCTCCCTCCTACTATCAATCTCACCTTATGTAGCAGTGGGAATGGAGTGTTAAAAGTTTTTAAAAGAGTAGAAAAAAAAGCTCACTCGAATTCCAGTCGCGCTCAACACGCGAAAATTCGGAATAATTGCTTCTAGTAGTATTCGAAATAACACAAAGATAAAGTACATCTTAAACAGTCAAAACACGAGGAAAAACTCACAACATCTAAAACAAAACCCATTGAAAATGGCTAAAGAAGTGGCCGAAAGCACTTGGGATGATGGACACTATGGAAAATTCTTGTACTCCCTTACTCCCAACAAACGGGAAAAAGTAAAAACGCTTGAAAAACTAAATCAAAAATGAATTGAATTTTCTTTGTCTGCCATATTTAACGAAAGATGTTTAAAAGAAAGTTTTCTACCCAAACATACATTATGCATGTGGGTGTAAAAAATCAGATATAAATTATAAAAATAACTAAATAAAAATATAACAAAAAAAAGACAAGACTAAAGACAAAAGAAAAACTTTGAAATTTAAGAACGCAAATCGAACGATTTCACAGTGAGACAAAAGGACACTTATGAACATTCTTAAATTAAAAAAAAAATTGAAAACCTAACGATAATTTCACTTGTTTATGAATACTTGCTGCAATATGTATATGATCGTATGCACTTGCAAATGAATACAAATAGCGATCTATAAAGCATGCAATTTATCTTGAGGTCGAATTGCGTCGGCTCAAATAAATTTTTATTTTTTCTTTATTCATGACAATTATCCGTTGCTTTTTAACATGTGACACTATATTTTACATTTCTTTACCTATATATAAAGAAAGGTTTTACTTTTGTCTTTATATATATATATATATATATATATATATATACCGGATTTAACAGCAAAATTGTCCAAATCGTGTAATAGCATGGGATAATTGTCCATCCCAAAAAATGTTTAATGTCTAAAAACACTAAATTAATTGAGTTTCTTTTTTCCCAGGTTTTCAGATAATACGTTTAACCATTTGTCGTAAGAATCACTGAAAACCCCTTTGTGTTGCTCAGTTAGAAAGGGAACAGGTTAAAAGAGTTTTGCGTCAATTCCACTATCTTCCGAACTGGTGAGAAGAAAAAGGTAATTCAGGCCCCTTCAGTAATGGTACCAACATTACTCTGGCTTCCATCTGCAAACGGGCAGTGCCAGGTACCCTTGATAGAATCTATACAAAGAACACACACAAACAGTTTTTGTACGCAGTTAACTTTATTTGCGTTCAAGCAAGAGGCGGGAAAAGTTTAATGATAATCTCTGTGGACCAAACAGGGTGGAAGTGACTTAGAGATTAGTTAAAAGTTTACATTGGCTTTTCTAAAATTTGAATTCGAACCTGTTGCAGTTCTGC